ATATTCCTGCCATGATGTAATGACTGGTGCTGTATGGTTCAGCCCTGAGATTTGCAGCATGTGCTCTGGCTCATATAGCTTTGACCATGCTGTCAGAAGTGTAGGTGCGACTGCTAATTTATAATTTCTGTCATATTTAACAAGGTGATATACTATTTCCATAATTTAGGCAGAAGCCAGATTAGGATCTACTGGTAGAATTTTGGGTTCCTTGCAGCAGCAGATCAGCAAGAGTTACTGACTCCCAATTGCTTAACAGTAGCAATGAAAATATGTTTTCTCCTCCTTGCCTAAACTAAGCTGCTCAAACAGAGACAGCTTGGGGGGAAACGAAGAGTGGCTTTTTGTGTGAAGAGGATGTAAGCTCTGTTCTTGCACTGGATGCAAATTCCTGGGCAGAGAACTTGATCAGAAGCACCTGTCCTTTATTTCTAAAGGTATATTTTTTGCATACACGTTATATATTTAAATGGCTTTTCATTTTGTAGCCGGAAGGCTCCCAGACTTTAAGATCAACAGAAAACAAGACAGGTGGTGGATCTTGGCATTCTCCCAAGGCAGAAAGTTGCCCGCCTCTAAGTTATAGTGCGCACATGTCACTGCTGGTTACAGGAACAGTGTCATTTGCATGAAGGCACAATTAGGAATATCTGTTCTGCAGGTCTAATTATGTCCCAGTTTGGCCCGGGAGAACGTTGTCCACAAACCATGCCCACCTGTGCCCCACCTGTGATGTCAGTTGGAGGGGCAAGTATGGGCATGGATACAGAAGAAGAATTGGGAGCTGAAAGTGAGCTCCTGAGAATTCCTTCGCAAGTAGGGCTCCCTGTGAACACTGATCACCTGATAGGCAGTAACAGGGAACTTCACTCCACTGAGACCGTGCCTTCAAAGGGGCTTGCTGTAACCGCTGATCAGCAGTTACAGGGAGGCCCTTTAAAGCCCATTTTCAGGAAGTTTAGATTCACATGGAACATTTTTTCCCCCTTTGCATGCGTATGTTTCTCCCACCTGCCAAAAATTGGGCCTTGAGAGATGGGAAATAAGGATCCAGCCAACATGAGAAGAGCCCTGCCTCATTAGACCAAAGGCTTGATCTAATCATTCAACTTCTTCTCCCACTGGCCAGCCATATGCCTACGGGAAGGCCTACAAGCAGGCAGTGGCGTAGCGTGGGGGGTGCAGGGGGGGCTGGCCGCACCGGGCGCAACATCTGGGGTTAGGGCAAATCCACAGGTTAGGGGGCGCAAATCCACGGGTTAGGGGGCGCAAATTACTTGCCTTGCCCCGGGTGCTGACAACCCACGCTACGCCACTGCAAGCAGGACCTGACCGCAACAGAACCCTCCCCACTTCTGGTTCCCAGCAAATTCCATAATTTAACTGTATGCTGTCTGAAGAAGTACCGTATTTTTCGCTCCATAAGGCGCACCTGACCATAAGACGCACCTATTTTTTAGAGGGGGAATGCAAGAAAATAAATAAAGGGAGTGCTGAGCAGAGCCTGTATGCATCCCAGGCTCTGTTCTGCTTTCCCTTTCACGAGCCGCGAGGAGCGTGTGTGCAGCGCTTGCAGGCTTTTCCCCAAGGAGGGAGAAGGGCAGCCCGTCACTGACGGGCTGACTTTCTCCCTCCTCGGGGAACAGCCCCCAAGAGCTGCACACACGCTCCGTGCGGCTCTTTAAAGGGAGCGCAGCTCTTGGGGGCTTTTCTGGCAAAAGCCAGGGATAGCCCCGCGAAGCCTTTGCAGGGCACAGGGATGAAGGCTTCCCGTGCCCTGCGGAGGCTTCACACGGCTAAGCCAGAAGCTAGAACAGCTAGAGGGAGTGCTGTGCAGCGCGCCCTCTAGCTGTTCTGGCTTTGGGATAGCCGTGCAGCCTGCATTCGCTCCATAAGACACACACACATTTCCCCTTACTTTTTAGGAGGGAAAAAGTGTGTCTTATAGAGCGAAAAATACAGTACTTTATTTTGTCTGCCTGGAATCTTTCAACATTCAGCTTCCTTGGATGTACCTGATTATTATTGGGTGGGATGAGTTGCTCTTTCTATCCACTTTCTCCACACTGTGCATCATCTCATACATGTCTATGGTGCTCACTCTTATTCACCTCTTTCTAAACTAAAAAGCCCCCAAAGTTATAACTCCTGCTCATAAGGGGAGTTCCTCCTGCTCTTTTACTTGCCCTTTTCTGAATCTTTTCCAGCTCTACCGTACCTTTTTTGATAACCCTTTTTTGCGCTTTTTGCTTGTGTCAACTATTCCCTCCAACACACATATTTTCTCATTTCCCTTCTGCTCACACTTTATGCCCTTAGTATATTGGATTGAGTTTGTTTTAACATATATGTCGTGCAATCCTGTGCATATTTACTTGGAAGTTAACAATGCCCAATGAGGATTAATCCAGTGTGTTCAGTCCGTACTGTATGAGACCTCAGAGTGGACTTCTGTATATAGTGGCTGGGGAAACCCAGCCAGATGGGTGGAGTATAAATAATAAATTATTATTATTATTATTATTATTATTATTATTATTATTATTCAGTCAGATGTTTATGTACATCAACATTCTGTCAGAAATTCTAGCTTGTTTTGAATAGTTCAATAAAAACACAACTCTCCACAGTGAGGTGTGTTTTTAGTGCCCAACTCATTCCTGATAACCCCACTAAATTTGAAGCTATTAGTCCCAGTTTAAAACTGGAATTGCTGAAACGGAATTCTCAGAATGTAGTCTTGCTGCTTTTGTAAAATACCTTCACATCTAAATCACCAAAATTTCAGCTTGCAGTGGAATGGTATATATACTATAGGGTATATTGAAGTAGTTCATGAGGACTTGTTTGTTTGTCTTTCTAATGAGTGCCCCAACTTATTTTGAATATAAATAGCATAGCCTTTTGCCTGTCTGCAACTTTCTCTGGCAGCTGTGTCTAAATGTAGTGACAAAAATCAGTCAGCCTTCCCCCCCGCCCCCCATTACTTATTGGGCTTATACAAGGCGAGATATTAAATACACTTTTGTCTGTCACCCAGCCACGGGCAGGGGAGGGGGAATTTGCCAGTTGCTAACGGATACCTGGCATTTTTGTGTATGACCATGAAGAACAGCTTGTGAACTTTCACCTCTGATGTTTCCTGAATAACATGGGTCTCATTTAGGTCAATAAGCCTTTATCAAAACGTCAGGAGTGAAAAATGTGTCTTGGTGTAAGCCGACTGGTCGTTCTCTCCAGTTGCAGGAGTCTATAGAACAATCAATGTTCTCTAAGCTTGTCTGCATGTCATGCAAAGAACTGGATGACAGTAACCATTGACTACATGTCTGTTTCATTGTCTTTAGGGCAGCCCACATTTGCATATTTGTCAGTGTTCCTGTTATCCAATGAACCATGGAGGGTCTTTAAAAACACACAACTCTCATGCAAATTTCTCTCACACAACACTCCCCCCCCCCCGCACTTTGCAAATCTGAAAGCACTCACAACTTAGTCTTTTGTTTCTTTCTATTTCCGTACTCTTCTTACAAAATTAAACTCTAATTTGCATGTGTGGAGTTTTTGTTCAGAGCAACCCTTCTTTTCCCTTTCTCAGAGTTTGGTTTTGCTTAATCACTATTTATTTGTATTTTGGTGTGTTGAAATATGGTTGTTTTGCATCACATACCGGTATATAGCACAAATCCCTTATAACTGCTCTTGATTACTGTATTATTATTATTATTATTATTATTATTATTATTATTATTATTATTAAAGACCCAGCTGGCTTTGTTTGCTTATTAGCTGTTTTTGTCCGGGGTGGGCTGAGAAGACCTAGGAGTTTTATTAATACACTGAAAAGGACACAAGAGAATCTTAGGATTTGTGAGCATGTGTAAAAGTTAGTAACATATAAGCTAAGAGAAAAAGGTCTCTTGATATTTTCATGTATCCAGCTGGATCACTCACAGTGCAATCCTACACAAACTCAGAAGTAAGCTCCATTGAATGTAATGGGGCTTACACCCAGATAGATATATCTGAGATTTCACTGCAATGCAGTATTTTCGAATTAGAAGGAGAATTCTGCTCGCCACTAAATATTGTGCTTAAAAACATGAATGAAAGGAAAAATAACTGCTCCATCACATGCTAAACTCCATTATCAGATTCTGAGAACAGTTTTCCTATGATATGAAACGCACACAAAAATATTTCTTGCTTTTCCTTCTCACACTTTATAGATGTGAGACTTATACTTTTCTGATACAAAGTCTGTATTTATGCTATCTGAATAACATTAAGGTAAAGGTAAAGGTACCCCTGCCCGTACGGGCCAGTCTTGACAGACTCTAGGGTTGTGCGCCCATCTCACTCAAGAGGCCGGGGGCCAGCGCTGTCCGGAGACACTTCCGGGTCACGTGGCCAGCGTGACATCGCTGCTCTGGCGAGCCAGAGCTGTACACGGAAACGCCGTTTACCTTCCCGCTAGTAAGCGGTCCCTATTTATCTACTTGCACCCGGGAGTGTTTTCGAACTGCTAGGTTGGCAGGCGCTGGGACCGAACAACGGGAGCGCACCCCGCCGCGGGGATTCGAACCGCCGACCTTTCGATCGGCAAGCCCTAGGTGCTGAGGCTTTTACCCACAGCGCCACCCGCGTCCCTCTGAATAACATTATTGTTTTATAAATAATGGGTTTGAAATTAAAGTTGCAAACCTAATTAAACTTCCCATGACTTAAGTGCCATAGAACTTGGCTAAGACTTTGAGGAGATGAGATTAGTATCCAATTATGTCAAGCGGGATTTTGTTTTGTTTTTATCACATGGAAATCGTCAAAACACCCTGTAATAGATTTTAAACTTTTAATCGTTCTCTTGATTGTTTGTTCCTACAGGGCTTTACCATATATTTTCTGACTCACAGTTCTCATATTTCATTTTCTGCTACTATCACCTGAAAAGTATTAAAAGCATGTTATATTAATCTGTGCCCCCCGTCTGTTTCCTCTAGGAAATTGTATTAGTGGTATTTTTTGGAACCGAGTATGTAGTTCGATTGTGGTCTTCAGGGTGCCGCAGTAAATACGTTGGCTTCTGGGGAAGACTTCGTTTTGCTAGGAAACCCATTTCTATCATTGGTGAGTATATAAAGTTCTCAATGGCTCCCATTGCATAAAAGGAATTCCCATAGTGATTTCTCTCATTTTCAAAAAAATAAAGAGAAAGTGTTTTCTTGTAAAAAACAACAACAAAGCAAAACCCCAAAACCTCAAAGAAGTTTACAAAAAAAGCAATAAAATTATCAGTAAAAAGAGTTAAAAACAGCTATTTAAAACATTCAAATAAAAATTAAAACCAATTACAGTGGAACCTCGGTTTTCAAACGTAATACGTTCCGGAAGACCATTCGACTTCTGAAATGTTCGAAAACCAAAGCATGCCTTTCCAGAAGCTCAATACAGAAGTCGTGTGGCACATTTGGCTTCTGAAATGCATTAAAAAACCGAAGCAGTTACTTCTGGGTTTTCGGCGTTCAAAAGCCGAAACATTCGACTTCTGAGATGCTTGAAAACCGAGGTACCACTGTAAAAGCTAGAAAAATATTTAAACACATCAACTTTATACATATCTAGGTAGGCTTGTCTAAAGTGTTTTTAGTAGGTGTCAAAACACTCACCTGCTTGATGTGTGGATGCCGCCACACTAGAAGTCCGATTTCATACAAATGTGGTACAAGCATTACACAGCATCTATAAAAGTGCCTGTTCCACAGATCAAAGCAGTCAAGTGGGAGTATATGGGGTAAGGCGATTTTCCAGGTAAACTGGTCCCAAGTTGTTCAGGGCTTTCTATGCTAATAGTAACACCGTGAACTTGGCCCGATAGCAAATTGGCAACCAGTGCAGGTTTCTGAGCAGAGGTTTCATATGCTGAGAGGGTCTCACACCTGGCAGCAATTGTGCTGCAGTATTCTATGCTAACTGCAACTTCTGGATCAAGTGCAAAGGAAGCCCCACACAGTACACATTGTAGTTATCTAGTCCTGAACTGCACGAACTACTATGGCTAGGCTTTCCCAATCCAGAAAAGGTCATAGTTGTGTTAAAGGTGCTTCTAGCAATTGAGGCTGCCTGGGTCTCTAGTGACTGTATGTTGTTGTTTTTCATTTTCCAGATCTAATCGTAGTTGTTGCTTCCATGATCGTGCTTTGTGTGGGTTCTAAAGGCCAGGTTTTTGCAACCTCTGCTATCAGGTAAAATGATTAAATCTAATTTAAAAATCCTTTCTTTTTCCACCCTGTTAAAAAGTGTATCTCTTAATCCACTTTTCCCCATCCCAGTGCCATGTACTGGTTAGAATGTTAGAGTGGTTAGATTTGGACTGGGGCTTGGGAGGTTCAAATCCCCAATCACCCGTGAAGTTCACTGTGTGACCTTGAGCCATTCCCTCCTGCTTAGTGCAGCCAACTCTTGTTATGAGGATTAAATGCAGAGGGGGCAAATCATGTATGCTGCCTTGAGCTCTTTGGAGGAAAGGTGGGGTATGGATGTACTGACTAAATAATAACAATTTTAAAGCTCACTCTTCCACTCTCAAGCATCTGTTCTCACTTTTTTCATTCACTTTTCTTTTAATGAACTTCATTCTAGAGGCATCCGATTTCTGCAGATCCTGCGAATGCTTCATGTGGATCGTCAGGGGGGCACATGGAGATTGCTGGGGTCAGTAGTTTTCATACACAGACAGGTATGTAAAAACTTAGAAAGGAAGTTCAAGTGATAAGGATCTTTTACTGTTAGGCTGCCAAATTCCATAGACCATATACTGTTCTTGGGGTATCTTGGACTAAAAATGAAATCCCCTTCCCGCTGCTTCAGACTTTACTCATAGTTAATCACATTTAATCAGTTTAATTAATTAGCTGATTAACTAATGTTATTTGATTGACTAAGGCTGCAGTTCTATACCTGGAGTCAGCCTGACTGAACTCAGTGATGGGGCTTACTTTTAAGTAGACATATGTTTCAACGGTAAGGTTTCTTTTACTGGGTGACAGACCTAATAATTTTAAAATCTCTCTGTGTGCAAACAAACCCCTGTAAAAATAATTTGCTGTGGTTTTGATGTAATTTGTTTCAGTTCTGCTAGTTTCGATCCTACTTTCTCTCACATATGGCCACTTGAATCCATTAAGTCTTATTTCTGAGTAGATGTGCATAGTATTGTGCTGAAGGTTAATCCTTTATTGTTTTGAGAACAAGGTTAAAAATATCATTTTTCCAACTTCAGTTTGCAATTCTGCTGCATCAAAGTAACTGACAATAATATTTTTTTGACCTAGTATTAAGGTAAAATGATTTGCTAAGTGCAAATTGGAAATATCAGTTGGTAGTCAACTAAGCATTATTCAGAGTAGAGTGACTGAAATTAATGAACTGTTTGATTAATGTTTAATTGGTTAAATTCAGTGTGGTAGCTGAGCCCAATAATCAGTCATTCGTTTTATAAAATAGCATTTGGCAGCAGCAGTATTCTATGTGCCTCTAGTTATTCATTAATTTGCTCTTATTCTTCTTTTCAGGAATTGATAACCACTCTGTACATTGGATTTCTAGGCCTGATTTTTTCATCTTATTTTGTGTACTTGGCTGAAAAAGATGCTGTGAATGATTCAGGCGAACATGAATTTAGCAGCTATGCGGATGCCCTTTGGTGGGGAGTAGTAAGTATAATCCACAGTACATTTTCAAAATTAGAAGAGCCTTTTTGTCCTAATGTGACAATTTCTAGTATTTCTATGAAATGTCCTCATTCAGGAGCAACACTTAAACCATTACTGATGGCATTGCATCTAGTTTGAGCATTATTCACAACATTTGTATAGGAAACATTGTGGTTTGTTGCTATAAAATGACCGCGGATCTAGCATATGTTTAGCCTATTAACTGTGTTTGGGTTGTTGTGTATGCAGTTTCCTGATTTGAAATAGTAAGGACTTGTGAATGTCATTTAACTTGGTATCATGGACCAGAGCCTGCATGTGAGTCCAGACCTTGAAAACTCACTTTTTATGAATGGAGTTTGCAGGATTTCTGCTCTAGTTCTTGCGATTACCACTCATTGTGTGAGTAATGCAAGCAGCAGAAAACAATCCTGAATCTTGTAGGGAAGATAAAGAAAGGCCTTCAGTCAAACTAGCCCACAGTGATTCTGGTTGTACCCCAGAAATATAGGGCAGGAAAGTGACATCCAGCTTCAGCAAAGCAGAATTTTGCCAAGAATTCTGTGTGTACCGAAGGCACCCAGAATCTCCTGTCTCATTGGACTGAAAAATGGAAGTTGATGCCTTCCTCACCTTCCATCACCAAAGAAGGGCTCAATTCGCTCTTGCTGAAACTTGCAGGTGGCATCAGGAGGACTATCTCCTTGGCTTCTGCAATACCTGAGGGCTCAATAAGTTCAGACCAGTACTGGAGCAACAAGTGTACTGCTGCTGGTCCTGAAAATATTATATCTGAGTCAGGAATATGCTTTCTTGTGTCAGGTTTTTTTGCTCTTAGCATAGCCTCTGTTGTTCTGGTATTGTACCTTCGTTTCCTGTGTGTAGGCCTGCAATTGCAAATTTACTCAGTGTTTGCTCTCGTTGCTTTCACTTGACACCAGTTAAGCTGAATCTGGGTACCACCATCAAGATAATGCAGACTGCAGGTCTTTGCTGGAGCCACCTTGGTCAAGAACATGGACAGGCAATGTCCAGGGATATTTGGACAGGGTGGGACCAGATTTGCTAAATGAGCACATCCAGTTCTCCAAATAAGTGTTGTACATGTACACCACACATTCAGTAACTGAGAAACGCGATGGCATTTTTCAGATTTTTATCTCTGTTATATAGCCTTCTATATGAACTCTATGAATCTCCCCCTTCCATATTCTTATATGTAAAATAGTAAATACAATGCAATCTCTTGTGGGATCAGCAAACTTGCTTTTTAAGCTTTTAAACTCTTTCTAAGGGGCTACATTACACTACAATGTGGTCAGCTTCTTCAGAGGAGTGGCTTACATGGCTTCTTAATTAAAGGTGGCAGATGCAACCATATGCAAAAAAGGCACTGCCTTGATTTTGGCAGCAAAAGTATACTTTTGTCAAGCATGAGTGGCGCTTTGTAAGGGCTGCAAAGCTTTCCTCAATAGAAATGGAAAAAATTAGCCTATAAAAAGAAAGCAAAGCAAAAGGAAGAAAATACAGTCCCCAGCAACATAAGCAGCAATATGCATACAATCTGAATACAATTCCCATTGCTGAATGATCCTCTGAAGATCGGAACAAAAAGATTTCAAACCAAGTGGTCAGGAACTAAAACATAAGACTGAGTTTCAGAGATATCAGGTTCAAGCTAGCCACAATCTCAACTGCAACCATCCCCCCCCCCCAAATTTAGGCATTTTAAGACTATGTTTGATTGCTTTTGGCTGGAAGCTATAAATCAAATTAACCATGATGTTAGAGATGCATGAAGGCATTTCAGATTGTATTTTTCTTTTGCTACAAGCGGCTCTGGTGTGTGTGTGATATGCTATGAAGGACTGGAGTGGGGGCAGTGTCAAACCTTTCCCCCTGTGATACAACCCAGGCCCAGATCCCTCCTGAAGCTGGTGAACATCCATTCAAGCTGAATGTTGGAAGATTCAGGACAGATAAAAGAAATAACTTCTTCCCGCAGAGCATAGCTAAACCATGGAACTCACTCCCACAGCAGGCAGTGATGGCCACCAACTGAGATGGCTTTAAAACAGAATTAGACAAATTTGTTAAGGAGAGGGCTACCAAAGCCTACTAGCCTTGATGGCCATGCTCTGCCTTTGCAGCCAGTGGGAGGAGGTAGTGCTCCTGAATACAAGTTGCTTGGAACCACAGGAGTGGATCCAACAGGCTCTTCTTATGTTCTGGTGTTGGGGGAAAACATGGTGTCAGTGGCTATTAAACTGTTGTTGTTGTTGTTGTTGTTGTTGTTGTTGTTGTTGTTTAGTCGTTTAGTCGTGTCCGACTCTTCATGACCCCATGGACCAGAGCACACCAGGCACTCCTGTCTTCCACTGCCTCCCACAGTTTGGTCAAATTCATGTTCGTATCTTCGAGAACACTGTCCAACCATCTCGTCCTCTGTCGTCCCCTTCTCCTTGTGCCCTCAATCTTTCCCAGGATCAGGGTCTTTTCCAGGGAGTCTTCTCTTCTCATGAGGTGACCAAAGTATTGGAGCCTCAGCTTCACGATCTGTCCTTCCAGTGAGCACTCAGGGCTGATTTCCTTAATAATGTATAGGTTTGATAAGACAACAGGCTATTAAACTAATTAGTGGCTATTAAACTAATCCCAAACTATGATCTCCTCCTATTTTTGGACTACCACTCCCATCATCCCTTGCTAGCAGGACCAGTGGTCAGGGATGATGGAATTGTAGTCCAAGAACAGCTGGAGACCCAAGTTTGGGAAACCACGGGGAAAATATAGGAAGCTGTCCTTTTAGTGATTGTTGCGTGATGCTCTTGCATCACGATTGCATCGTAACTGTTGCAAATTGCCCCTAAAAATATGTTACCTTTGAACAACCGTATTTCAAAGGCATCACTGAGTAGTTTGACTGGAATATAGCCACTTTCATCATGAACCCTTCTGTCACTACTAGATTTTACTAGATGAAAAGAGAAATAAAATAAGACATCCTAGACTTTAGATTTCTTACATACTTATTTCAACACAAGAAAGATTAAAAAGAACAAACTTTAATATATGCCACTTACTGTTAGTTGTGAGCATGAATCAGACTGAGCTCAGCACTTTTCTGTCCCATTGGTTTAAGTGGCAGGAGTAAACATGCACTGAACTTCTTCCTATTTAATTCAGTGGGATATAAAAGTGTTTAATTTTGGCTAGAACACACACATGTGTCACTGTGATTGATAGTGTAGAGCAAACCTTCTACTGTTTCCAGTGCATTTGAGTAGTAAACAGAACAGCTGGCATGCGGCAGTCTATACTTTCTGAAGTAAAACAACTAGGCTATTAAGTTTTTGTTCTAGAAAATGTCGCAAAATAACAACAATTTAATTATACTTAGAGGCAACGTGCATAATTTGCCAATCACTGCTACTTTGAAACTTCTCTTTATTTTGACTGGATTTCTGCTGGGTTCTCAGGAAAATGGGGACCAGCTTTTTTTAATGGTGTTTTCCTTAGACACCCCTATCTGTTGTCAATCCACAATTAGAGTTGTCTGTTAAAATCATGCTGATTAATAACATCTTGTATTTTCCCATAAATAAATTACATTTCTAAGTAATTATAAACCACATGAATGGTATGTAAGAATGAATCTTTTTCAGTTACTTGCAACAGAGATATCGGGTTCAGGCAGGGGGTGTTGTGGAACAATTGCTCACTCAGAATTGCCAATTGATGCAAATGTTTTCAGATATAAAATTGTTCCTTGCCCAGTACTGAAGTCACTTTTCTAAAGAAAAAAACAACATTCCCAACCTGCTTTTTGATTTTTTTATTTGGGCCAGTTTAAAGGTCATAAGGTGGAAATTCTAAATCATCCGTATATTCCTGCCAGTGACATGTATATAGTAAATGGCTATGGCCACAATCCAACAGGTGACTGAAATGCAGCCAGCAATTTTCCATTATGCAGCAGCTTGCACTTTGGGCACTTTGCCTTCAACAACATTGGGACCTGTCGCCACGCAGCAAATTTCTTCCCATTATGATCTGTTCCATAAACTGTGAACTCTTTCTCTTACATAAAAGCCTGGTTCCAAGTGGTCACCTAAAAACTAATCTTCACCCACTTGGTGCCATCCCACTGTTTTGGGCTACAATTCCCACCATCCCTTGCTGTTGACTATGCTGGCTAAGACTGGGGGAAGTTATAATCCAAAAGATCTGGAAGGCACCAGATTCAAGAAGGCTGACCTAAACAATGGCACAAAGGAGAAGATGGGAGGAGAAGTATGTAATCTTCAGGGTTGCCACAGTTTGCTCATGATCACCTCAATTCAAACCATGGTTTAGGTTGTGCACCCCTCCAGACTACACCTCCCATCATCCCTATTCACTGGATATGCTGGCTGGGGCTGATGGGAGTTGTAGTCTGGAAACATCTTGAGGGCCACAGGTTGTGCACCCCTGGTTTAGCGGATTGTCTGAACGAGCATAAACTTAATTTTCATGACTGTGCTAGGCAGGATCATGGTTTGAACACATCATTCTTCAATGTGAGACTATTTGCATAAATACAGGTTTAAATCAGGCATGGGTGCTAATTCTGTTTGTAATATAGTGGTCCTTCTGCTACAGTCATTTAAAATGAACATACAGAACTGTTTTGATAAATCTGATTTTCATGTACTCTGTGGGTTTTGCAGGGCAACGTTCTCTTTGGGAAAGAGGATTACAGATTTATAACGTTTCAGCTGACGATGACTTTGCCCTAGCAGAAAGCAATTCCACTAATACACACTCGTGCACCTAATTATTGTAGTCCCACACTCTTAGTGCTGCCTTCTGTATTACATTACATTGTGGACTGAAGGGACCATCAACCCTCAGGAGCAGCTTTTTAGGAGGTCAGAGGGTTTAAGTGGGCAGGAGGGGATCAGCAAAAGTCAGGTGCCCTGACTTGAATGAGGAGAAGTGCCTTACACTAAATCGAGTAG